TAAGTAATACGAAAAATACGTTACTCTGGTTGTCTTATCTTGCAAAGTGTTACGAATTGCGAAATTTCTATTGAACATTCGTTAAGTCAATGCATGAATTTCATAGGACTACGTTTCACCATAGGAAACAGTGATTTGTTGTTTCTTCAATTATATACAAAACGTTCAAATGTTTCAACAGAAAATATTCTTTTTGTCAAATTTTATTCAATTCTTAAGCGCAGAAAAAGCTTGAATGCTTCAGTTGTTAAGGATGTACACCTCTGAGGAACCAAAAATTTCTAGAATTAAACTTTTTTACTTAACCTGATTTTTGGGTTTATATGACTGTAAGAAAGTAATTTATGAAGAAAAAATCATATGGTGGTGCACTTTTTTTTTTGCTACGACCATTTGAAAGTACCCCATTTTTATGATTTCCCCATTTTTCATCAATTTTTACCTATTTTTGGGCTATTATCATGAAAAAAATCACAGTTTCACAATTAAACTTGTTTTCATACTTTCATTAAAGATGGAGTGGACCAATCTGAATAAATTTAACTTAAAAAAACTATAGGTAGGTGTTAATATAAGAAAGTTTTATAAAATCTTGTTGCTTTTTCGTGTCAAATTGACCATGCTGTAAATTTTGTAAACTTCGGATTTTTCTCTTTTTCTTTAGAACAAAAACCATATTGTATCAACTTCTTTGCTATGAACGATTGAAAAAATACATATCTAAGAATTTTGAAAAGAAAAAATTGATATGGGATGTACATATTTTTGGTAAAATCATTTCTTTGTACACTAAACCCATTTTCGCAACATTTTGGCTGATGACACTGACCGGTTTGCTTATAAAAATTGAAAATTTTATTACTCAAAAACTACTTATTGTAACTACACAATTTTTTTCACATAGTTTAGTTTGATTATAATATTTTTTAAATTCATTGATATTTTCCACTTTTATCACATGTTTTGGAAATAATTCCCGAACGAGATTTCAACTAGACTGAAACGTCAGAAGAATACATCATTAATGGTGACACGGGAAACAGACTCATTGTGTCAAAATAGCTATTTTGCCGGCTCCCGGTAAAATGGAGATTTATAAAGAGTTTTGCTATTTTGCCGGTCTTAATTCAGATTGTTTAGTATATAAATTACGAAAAGAAAGAAATTTAGAAACATTCAATTTAACATGTTAATAAGAAATCTCTAAACAAATATTTCTTCTTAAAAAATGTACACATAAGCAAAGCATGTATTTTAAAATTGATATTCTAATCAAAAATACTCCATGCAAAAGTTTTAAAGTTAAAAGTAAATTTACATACAAAAAAATATGTCTTTTTTAAAAATATAATACACAAGCAAAGCATGCATATGAAAATTAATATTCTAATTAAAAATAATAATAATAATAACCCATATTTTTTTATATGTAAAGGTAAAATTCAACAACTTCAAAATGCTTTACAAGTGTTACAAACCCAGTTCCTTGCTTTTGGTGAATTTTTTAGTCTTGCGCAAGAAAGATGCTGCCACTTGTTGGATAGGGTTATAAGAATAGTTTGTTTAGCGAGAATAACACAATTATTTTTGTTTACATGTTATTTTAGGTTTATAACTTTATGCACTAAATTATAACGCATTTGTAAGTGCAAAGGGTATGCCAAGTTTGGTTTAAATCGATTGAAAGATGTTGAATGACGGACAATTTCGCAAGTTTTGACAATGTTAGTTTCTGTGCTGTTGTAATCTTAAATGCGTGCCGCCATTCGTAAATCTATATAGTTGCAAGATAAAAACGAAGAAACATGCCCATGTAACCATGAAACAACTTGACCAATCAGTGGATGAAGGTTTGTGGTCTTTGCGTCATGAACACAACAGTACTTTATTGCACCATAGACTAGATTGTTTTGTTTCTAGCTCAAGTTTTCATAACTGTATAGGTTCCACAGTTGCACACAGTCGTCCTCTTCAAAGTGCACTAAAACCTGTTTTAGATCTTCATGCGAGTCGAACATAGCGTTTATTTTAGGTTTTTTCCAACAAAGTGTAGTTTTCCATTTTCGAACGTCAATGATTTCAATAAAAGATATTACTTCATTTAGTCTGAATAAAAATCTAAAATAAGACCGGCAAAATAGCAAAACTCTATATAAATCGCACTAAGGAGGCTAAAATAGCCACTGCCTTTTTTAAAATTCTGATTTGTATTAACGACCTCAAACCTTTAACCTTTTCGGGGGAAAATCAATATTTTCTTTCTTATATTGTAAGACAGTGTATATGGACTTTGGAATTTTTTAAAGTTACCATGGAAACTGCAAAAATATGAAAAAATTAAAAAATTCGAAATTTTATTATACGACCCAACCAAACGAAACTATATAGAAATGTTGCCTGTTATGCCTTGATGTGCAGACAATATTTAGAAATTTTAAACTGGCCGCCATTACTATGGAAACAGGGCGAATGTATCCCAGTAAACCCTATGGAGAAATCTTTAAAGTAGCATTTTCTCACTTAACATGGACGGTCATACCCAGTGAAACCTTTTAATAGTATGTTCCCCGTCATTTAACAATATTGCATCTATCTTTGGAATTTTGGAAATGGTCACTGTTACCATGGAAAAAGCAAAAATGCTCCAAACTTTATCAAACTTAACAGAAAAGTTAACTAGCATGAGTAGAGGTGCAATTTCACTTTGGAATTTTCAAAATTGCTGCTGTTACCATTGAAGCAGCAAAAAAGAGAAAATTGAAAATGCTTCAAACTTTCTGTTAATTTACCAAAATATGTATTGACATGCATATACATGTATGTGCGTTCAATGTTTAAACGTCTCATAATGGCTGTCGTTTTGTGGCAACTGATTAAAGCTCACAATATTTCGAGCTCTTGGCTTATACATTTCAAAAATATGTGGTGTTGACAATGTTAAGGTTACAGTTTATATTGTAGCTGATTATGTTAGTTTAGAAGATACAGAATAAAAAACAGTTAGTTAAAACACATGACCGCACAATAAATGGTATTCGTAAGTCATTGAAAAGCCAGCATAAAGCGATTTTAATAATAAAAAACCCCTATATTTTGGCTTCTCAAATACCAATACACTTTTATATTAGGAAATAATCAAAATTTTGGTAATTTGGGCGTGAAAATAATCAAAAGTAAAGATCATTAAGAATTGATAATTGGTCTCTAAAAAATCAGTTAAAGCTTTGTATGCAAGTGATATAGGATTAAAAATCTACTCAACCTAAAGAATAATGCGAAGATATATGGAAGTCCACATTTTGATATTGGATACTGAAAAAAAATATGCTAACTAAATTAAGATTTATGTAAGTTTCAACAAACAAGAATTTATACGCCATCTAAAATGAAAATTCCAAAGTTCTCCATGAGAACGCTATTGGTTTTAAACTCTCAAAACATCATTCTGGTATAATCACAAATGCAAAAAATAACAATAACAAGGGCGATATATATGCTGAAATATACAGTAAAATACATGAAAACAGTTATGTTTCTTTTCTTCGCAATAAATGTCATTCTCTTAAAGTGTGGACTGTTATCTATTTTCCTCTAATGGGTGGTTGATATGAATAAGTAATACGAAAAATACGTTACTCTGGTTGTCTTATCTTGCAAAGTGTTACGAATTGCGAAATTTCTATTGAACATTCGTTAAGTCAATGCATGACTTTCATAGGACTACGCTTCACCCTAGGAAACAGTGATTTGTTATTTCTTCAATTATATACAAAACGTTCAAATGTTTCAACAGAAAATATTCTTTTTGTCAAATTTTATTCAATTCTTAAGCGCAGAAAAAGCTTGAATGCGTCAGTTGTTAAGGATGTACACCTCTGAGGAACCAAAAATTTCTAGAATTAAACTTTTTTTCTTAACCTGATTTTTGGGTTTATATGACTTTAAGAAAGTAATTTATGAAGAAAAAATCACATGGTGGTGGACCTCTTTTTTTGCTACGGCCATTTGAAAGTACCCCATTTTTATGATTTTCCCATTTTTCTTCAAATTTTACCTATTTTTGGGCTATTATCATGAAAAAAATCACAGTTTCACAATTAAACTTGTTTTCATACTTTCATTAAAGATGAAGTGGACCAATCTGAATAAATTTAACTTAAAAAAACTATAGGTAGGTGTTAATATAAGAAAGTTTTATAAAATTTTGTTGCTTTTTTGTGTCAAATTGACCATGCTGTAAATTTTGTAAACTTCGGATTTTTCTCTTTTTCTTTAGAACAAAAACCATATTGTATCAACTTCTTTGTTATGAACGATTGAAAAAATACATATCTAAGAATATTGAAAAGAAGAAATTGATATGGGATGTACATATCTTTGGTAAAATCATTTCTTAGTATACTTCACCCATTTTCTCAACATTTTGGCTGATGACACTGACCGGATTGCTTATAAAAATTGAAAATTTTATTACTCAAAAACTACTTATTGTAACAAAACAATTTTTTTCACATAGTTTAGTTTGATTATAATATTTTTTAAATTCATTGATACTTTCCACTTTTATCACATGTTTTGGAAATAATTCCCGAACGAGACTGAAACGTCAGAAGAATACATCATTAATGGTGACACGGGAAACAGACTCATTGTGTCAAAACAGTTCAGTGCAAAAGACAAAAACAATGTTTCGCGCTGATTTTTTTCTTTCCGCAAAATTGATTTCTACCATTGAACATCCTGTGAGGATTCGATATCGCTTGATATCAACTCTCGTTTTTTTTCTAATTTCAATAAGGCTTGTTTATTATAAAATTGTAATAAAAAAACGGGAGTTGATATCAAGCGATGTTCAACTCTTACTCGTTATGAAACCTATAATTCTCACTCATCATTGTTTATCATCTATTAAATCAATGAAATAGCTTATCTAAACTGTGTAAACAGTGCATATCTTCTTACTACAGAAGACATATTAAATGTAATAAGTGATCACGTACCTGTTTCTTAATTCATCAATAACCCGTTCGTTGTCTCTCTTCGCCTTCTGTAGCAAAATAATATCTTGGCCTTGCCTGTCAACTAAAACTTTTAGTCCTGCATTTTCCTCTTCGATGATTTTAACATTATTGTGATTTTGTGGAAATGCAGAATCAACACTTTGTTGTCTTCCAGGTGTATAAACAGTAGCTGCAAAGTTCGAAACTCTTGTTTTTGGCACTGCAGGTTGCTGGTTAGCGCCAACTGTTGCCGAAATATGCTTTAATGAATATTATCACAATGGTTTTACACATTCGATATATAATTGAATGCTGTTTGCCTAGCGTCCAGTGGCAATTATTTCGTGCATGTTCAGGACGATACGTATACAACATAAGCAAATAGTCTATATCTTGTAAATAAGAGGCAATAGTAGTTTACTGATGTTCAAAACTCATATATGATGTACAGCAAATTTACACATAAAAAAAAGCCAAGAATCACATGAACTCAAAAAGGAGGGGGACCAGATTCGTCCACATGGTAAGCTTTTCTTACGTTAGGGGAACAGTATTTATTCTGCAACCATATTCGATAACACTCATATTTTCAAAATTTTCTACTTTTTATAATAAAATTCAAAACAAGAAAGTTTTATGTGATAAGAAGCGTTTTTTATTCTGTTTTAGAAATTACATTATAGTAAATTCATTAGTCAGAGATTTCGTTAACACAATTTACTTAAAACCTTTACTAAACAAAAGTTTACGACAAAAGAGAAGATTTCAGCTTCCCAATTGTGAACTTTCCATTTCTATGTAGCAACATTCAAGCAGCGCCTGCATACGGAGTAGATATCTCCCAGTTGATACGATATTCCAGGTCTTGTATTTCCTATCATGATTTTCTTGATAGAGGGTTGCTGCTAACAGGGAAGCTATTAATAAATTTACGGACGCCATCACGAGTTGGTTGGCCGTTATGGAATATCTGTTTCCCAGATGTCAACGGATATGTTCCAATTGTCGTAACTACAATCCCATCCACTTTTCCCCTATCGAATAAGACTTAACACCGGGTTTGTACTAACATGAGCCACATGTGGAGGATGATCTTCCGGATCAACTGAGATCAACCCCCAGTTTTTGGTGGGGTTCATGTTGATCAGTCTTTAGTTTTCTATGTTGTGTTTTGTGTTCAGTTGTTTGTCTGTTGGTCTTTTTCTTTTATAGTCATGGCGTTGTCAGTTTATTTTCGACTTATGATTTGAATGTCCGTTTGGTATCTTTTGCCTCTCCTTTACTTATTGTTTCCACAGATACAAACAATTTGGTTTAATATTATGGATGCACTAAAGTCTTGTAGAAATCTTATTACAAACGGGATATCACATCCTAATTTTGATGGTGATGATGTTTATAGAGCCCGTAAATTTAGATAATATCATTTACAGACGAAAGTCGTTTTTTCCGCCTTAGTCGTGTTTATTCTTTTTTGTGGTTTCGACAAGTGGTACAAATCCATGACCATCTGGAACACCGGTATGTCACAATTGTCACCAAAATCAAGATTGCGTTCATAAAACGACTAGACCTTTAGAACTAAGAACCCTAGGAACAATTCCATCCTTGTATGTAGCAAACCTCTACTAAACATTAACACTACATTTCCTTATAGTTTATATCATTTATGTATATACTGTTAAATCCCCTTTTATATCATTACGAATGAAAACTTTGGCTATAATGACTACCTATTTATTAGGGTCCGATATCTTATTGAATATACGCGTACGATTTCGTACAAGAATTCAAATTGCATTGTTTACTATATATATTAAACTAACCTGCTTTTGATTTTTACTTTGCCTCTCAAGTAGATCATACTCTTCACTTAACCGAAATAAGAAATAAAATTCATACACAGCGTCTACATAGCTTGAAGAACTTTGCCTTTCACACAATGCTCTATACAAATCGGTTCTAAGGTTGCTCGGATTTAAGGGCTTTTCTGGTTTGTATTCTCGTACCAACTTTGCGTACTAAAAATAAAAGAATACAAGATTATACTGAATGCAATTAAATATGTAGGACTCGGAGGTGCAATGGGGACGCTGAGGTGCGATGGTCACGCTGAAGTGCGATGGTCTGCGCCGAAGTTCGATGGTCCATTCGCTGATGTGCGATAGTCTATATGAGGCGTGGTGGCTATTTTAAAATGTACAGAATAGCAATTATTATGAGAAGTATATTTTTTTTCGTTGTTTGTATATAAATAAAATTGAAACTAGTGACATCATAGCTCATGCTGATCAGTACAACATCTAGCATCAACATCAACTCCAACATGGTTTTCGGAAAAGGCTGTCCTGTGACACCTAGCCAGTGCTTTAAGTCAACAATTTAATTATGGAGTTCAGCAAAGCATTCAACAAAGTGTCTCACATCCTATAAATACACAAACTTCACCACTATGAGATAAAAGGGGACACACACATATGGATCCAACACCTCCTGAAAATCCATTGGTTCATGTCTGTCATATTTGTTTTTTCGTAAATTGTTTTGTTATAAATTAGGCTGTTAGTTTTTTCAATTGAACTTTTTCCTATTTTTCCTGTCGGTGCATTTTATAGCGGACTATATGGTACGGATTTAATTTACTCATGATTGAATTCCTTGTTGCATATAATTGCTTACATCCACTTCATTTGAACTTTGGTGGATAATTGTCTCATTAGTAAACATACTACATCTCCTTATTTTTATATCAATTGAAGAACACAGAAAAAAATAATAAATGTCCACAAAGATGCATCAATCCAACCCGATTTAGTCGAAATTCAAATATGAAACGATCTATGCGAGTCCTGGTAGATTGCGAAAATTCTAACTCTGTGGGTGTAGCATCAGGAGTACCACAAGGCACGGTACATAGACCGCTGTTGTCCATATTTATGACTTACTTGAAATTGTTAAATCTCAGTCTGATTATTCGCCGACAATTGCCTACTATATAGTAAAGTCCAAACACAACAGGACCACAAATTACTACAAAACGACCTTGTATCATAGAAAGAATGGATCACAAATGGGATTTGAGATTTAATCTAAAATATGTTACAGTGATGAGCGTCAACAACAAATCATCTCAATTCTACAAACTAGACAACCAAATTATGCAACAGGTACAACAAAATCTGTACCTCGGTGTTATTATCTCAGATGATCTGAGATGGGGCGTCCACATTGCTAAAACCGTGAAGAAAACTAACTCCACTCTAGGCTATTTGCGACGAAACCTCCGTCATTGTCCAAAGGATTGCAGGAAACAAGGCTTCCTTAGGGCTTATCCGGTCACTGTTAGAATACGCATCCATAGTATGTGACCCTTATTTAATCAAGGACATTAATGCACTAGAACGCGTCCAGAGACAAGTAGTTTCATCATTGGGGAGTATACAAGCAAAGAGGAAGGTAGTATAAGGTGACTAATGAACGAACTCAAACTTCCAACACTTGAAAACAGACGGTGTCACAGTAGGCTCACTTTTCTCTTCAAGGTGGCCGGGGAGTTGGTACCAGCTATCCCGCAAGATTCAGTATTAATCAAAACGAGACCAAAACGCCAAATAAAATCCAAACAATTTAGTGACTATAAAACAACAAACATTGTAGACCAATTTGTACAAAACCACAGCCGGTGTTTCAAAATTCCACCTAGTAAATCTGACCAATACAAACAGTCATTCTTTGTAAGAACAATTTCCGATTGGAATAGACTACCAGCCAATCTCGTGTGAGCAAAGAAAATAGAGAGCTTCCTCTCACATCGTTGGACTAATTTTCCAGTGCCTCTCTTCCGGTGCCATTGATGCCATATACTAGCCCTGCAACGTACCTATTCAGATTCAGATAAAAGTTCCTTCCAATTAACGTCTTGAAGCACAGCTACTCAGAGGGAATTATTTTATACAAAGACTGTTAGAAACTGGAATGCCCTGCCCATAATTTGTATTAAGGTGCAGACGTTAGCAACTATTTATATTATTGGAATTCTTAAAGGACGAACGATTTTATTGGGGAAAACATCTTGATATCGAAGAAATCTGACTGGAGAACCTTATCCATACAATCTGAACGATTAAGCTTTGCGTTTATAATGTATTAGAGGTGATTTGTGGTGATTAAAATGTTTAGTCCTACCATACACAAACAATTTATTCGTTCTCGCCTTGAATTAACATTTGAGATCTGTTTATTAGTTAAAGCTTCGGATAAATCAAAACATCATATACTAGTATTTAATTTTAACATATTTTATTCAGAAAATAACTGAAATTGATTGGATAACAGGTTTAGCTTAGTATATACCTGTACATCATTCTCAATACAAAGCAATAAAAAACATAGCAAATCCGTGTGAACAAAGACATTTTACATTCTAAGGGAAATACATGTAACTCAAATTAATATATCAAATCAAAAGCATCTCAGGTACACAACTGATATTTAACAATGTCATAATATAATAATGATTGAAAAATGCATGTGTTATGGCGACAATTATGACGAAAGTTGAAAGGAATCATAAAAGATGATATATAAAATAACAATAATAAGGTGCGTGAAATATGAATTGTATAGCTGAATACTGTTACTATTGTAAACAAGTATAACAAATTACTAAAATCCAATGCAAATTCAATAAAATGCTCCGCTGGGGCGCACCTTGATACGACCGCAGAGGTCGAACCCTGAACAGTTGGGGCAAGTATGGACACAACATTCAAGCTTGATACAGCACTGAATTTGGATTGTAATTAAATATTTGACACAGCATAGGTTTCTGACACAGAATGAATGTGTTCTAAGAACTTAAAAAATTTTAATTTACCTATTCAAACCATATCATTATTATTTGCTTTTATATATAAATCAGACAATCAATTTAAAATGGAAAATTTTAAAGAAAAAAAAGGAAAAAAAAATCCCCCCCCCCAAATTTTTTGAACCCCCTTATGATTCATCACCCCCAAACTCAATCCCAGCCTTCCCTTTGTGGTATGGTACCTTGCAGTACAATTTCAGAGAGATCCATACACTTGAACACAAGTTATTGTCTGGAAACTAGAAAAATGCTTATTGTTGGCCCCTTTTTGGCCCCAAATTCCTAAACGTTTAGGGCAATTACCCCCAAACTCAAACCAAGCTTTCCCTTTGTGATATGGAACCTGTAGTACAATTTCATAAAGATCCATACACTTACACACAAACTATTGTCATGAAACTAGAAAAATGCTTGTTTTTTTGCCCCTTTATGGTCCCTAATTCCTAAAATTTTGAGGCAATTACCCCCAAAATCAATCCCAGCCTTCCCTTTGTGGTATGGTACCTTGCAGTACAATTTCAGAGAGATCCATACACTTGAACACAAGTTATTGTCTGGAAACTAGAATAAACAGCTGCGCCATGAGCGCATGATACGCCCGTCGTCTTGTGTGTGAATTTTTATGCAATAAGCATAAATAGTTTCTGACATACGGCGTGACATGCAAAAACCCCCCCTTTTTTTTTACAAAAAAATTCAATATCTCTAAAATAAAATTTTGAATCAAAACCAAAACGTATACAGATCTTTAGATTAATATAACTAAGAAGTGTGTAAAATTTTAAGCCATACTCATAAATCGTTTTTGAGATACGGCGCGACATGTGAAAACCCCCCTTTAAAAAAAAAAAAATCAATATCTCAAAAATAAAATTTTGAATCAAAACCAAAAAGTATACAGATCTTTGGATTAATATAACTAAGAAGTGTGTAAAATTTTAAGCAATAATCATAAATCGTTTTTGAGATAATGCGTGACGTGAAAAACCCCTCCCCCTTTTTTTACAAAATACTCAATAACTCAAAAATAAAATTTTGAATCATCACCAAAAAATATACAGATCTTAAGGTTAATATAACTAAGAAGTGTGTAAAGTTTTAAGCAATAATCATAAACTGTTTTTGAGATACGGCGCGACATGTGAAAAACCCCTCCCCCTTTTTTAACAAAATACTCAATATCTCTAAAATAAAATTTTGAATCATCACCAAAAAAGATCTTAAGATTAATATAACTAAGAAGTGTGTAAAGTTTTAAGCAATAATCATAAATTGTTTTTGAGATACGGCGCGACATGTGAAAAAAAACACACACCTGTTTTAGTTACTAAGTCCCGTAACTCAAAAAGTTTTAATCTTATTTTCACCAAAAAGTATACAGATCGTTTGACCATCATAACAAACAACTATGTTAAGTTTCATGAAATTTGGATAAGTCATTCTCAAGTAACGGTGCGACATGTTTACGCCGGACAGACAGACGGACAGACAGACGGACAGACGGACAGACAGACGGACGGACGCCGGACATTTGTATACCATAATACGTCCCGTCAAAAATTTGACGGGCGTATAAAAATGCTTATTTTTGGCCCCTTATTCCTAAACGTTTTGGGCAATTACCCCCAAACTCAATTCCAGCTTACCCTTTGTGATATGGAACCTTGTAGTACAATTTCATAAAGATCCATACACTTACACACAAGTTATTGTCATGAAACTAGAAAACTGCTTGTTTTTTTGCCCCTTTATGGTCCCTAATTCCTAAAATTTTGAGGCAATTACCCCCAAAATCAATCCCAGCATTCCCTTTGTGATATGGAACCTTGTGGTACAATGTCAAGAGAGATCCATACACTTACACACAAGTTATTGTCATGAAACTAGAAAAATGCTTGTTTTTTGCCCCTTTTTGGCCCCTAATTTCTAAAATTTGGAGGCAATTACCCCCAAAATCAATCCCAGCATTCCCTTTGTGATATGGAACCTTGTGGTACAATGTCAGAGAGATCCATACACTAACACACAAGTTATGTCTGGAAGTTACAAAAATGCTTATTTTTGGCCCCTTTTTGGCCCCTAATTCCTTAACTGTTGGTAGCAAAAATCAATCCCAACCTTCCTTTTGTGGCATTGAACCTTATGGTAAAA